ATTATCACGAGGAACTCGGCCAAACGCGTTGTTTTTATCGTGCGGGATAATTCGCTCGAAATTAACCGATCGTTTGGGGGCGAATATATTTCATCCTTGCCGAACGAATGTTGGACAACGCATGTTGTACGATTCAGATTAGCTGTTAGTGAATATCGCTCAGAAACAGTACCCACACAACGACATTGGTGATATTTACTATATCGTGTTAATATAATCAATGCATTTTCACCGATACGTTAGTGGTTTTTACGTTCAGACTACACTAATCCAATCTAATCGAATAATAAATTATAGCGTTTGTTTAGACGATTAACGCACTGTGGGCAATCGATATATACGTATAATATAATAATACAGAATATTTGTTATTGTTAATAACATTAGCAATATTAACAATACTACTAACGATATATATTAGTGTTTGTGCGGTCGCCATGTCGTCGGCACAGTACCGATAATATAATTTCTTATATAATTGATAAATTAGTGATGAAATATGGATACGAAAATTGACGTGAAATTCGATTCTATAAGAAATATAACGAATGTGACGATAATAGTGTAATCGTAGGCTTTACATTTTGTAAATCAAATGTTTTGACAATTTCAACGATAATACAGTTTACGTTTTCGGTGCGCGATGTACTTATTAATTAGGTACCTAAATTGGCGGGGAGCTTATGTTTGTGAGACAGTGGGACCGTGTATTATACATTATAAAAATCCAATATTTCAAACAGCTCGTCCAAATGATCTATTATAGACATACTAAAGGGAAAATTCCGTCCAAACGATTTGTGATTTTGGGTCATTCGCCCGAACGAAAACCTAACATAACCGCGTTTTTTGTGCCTGCTGTGCTTTTTGCCGTTCGAAAATCAAAAGCAAAATCGTGCTGTACGAGCGCTGAATACGCGAAAAACGGCAACAAAGACATTTCGTACACGACGTCGTTGTAGGTATAGATTAAACGAACACTGTCGCGTCGCCACTGGTCACTGTTGTATGTGGGAAGCTGAGAAGTTGTGATACAGACGGGAATTTAATGTATATCTGTAAGAAACGATTGCTAACGGAAAAACGATTCTGCGCGGAGTTCAGTTTATGTATTGTTACTTTGTCAACAATATATTATTTATACGTTCATATTGTGATAAAATGAGTACAACAATGTGCGTTTCCTTGACAACAATGATTGTATAAAAAATATTTTATTCAAATAATAAAAACTTAATAATAACGAAAAATAAATAAAATGACAAAAGTTTTTTGAATCTTTCGATTTCGTTTAACCTAAAAAACCGGGGTTTCCTCGTAATCTCGAATATTACTGAGAATTTCAAAAAAAAAAAAAAAAAAATGACCTCTTTAAAAGCACCACCCAGAGAACATTTCCTCTCGGAAAAGGTGCTACACCCGATAATCGGAGTAAGTTTTCTGGTGGAAAAAGTGTCCACATAAAAAGAAAAAAAATATTAACATCGTTGTAAAACCAATACGTTCCTCGGCTCCGCTCAGAATCTAAAACGTACAGAGTACACGGGGAATCGTAGCGCGAGTTTCTGTGGAAATTATTGCGGGAGAAAAAAAAGACAAACTCAAAAAAAGCGCAACAACAAAATTTATTCGCGTATTCGTATTATACCCCTGTACAATCTGCGGTTTTAACGTCGATTTCATAACGGCCAGTCTTTTCTCTTGTGTATTATGTGTAAAATCCGCAGGTTTCGTAACAATAATAATAATAATATCGGAGCGAATCGCAAAAACGTCTGGTTTTTCTCCTCGATAATAATAATTGTATTTAGAAACGGCGAAACGTATTAATACGCTCCCTGGATGGAAAATCGGGATTTATTTTACATATATCCGCAAACGGAAATCTCGAAACTTCTCGCGGAACGAAAACAAAACAAAACGCTCAAACACTGATAACGCGTTCGCCTGTCGGACGTTTGAATATTCGCTCCGGAACAACCGAACGCGAATATTCACCGACGTGATAGTTGACGCAGTTCTTTCGAACGGTCGTCAAAACCGCAAATCGTAAAAACCGGAGATTTATAAATTTGGTCAATTTTTTAACGGATGATGTAGCAGTACAGCTGACAGTATTATAATATAGTAGATAGTAATTGACCAAATTTATATCTACTATATTATAATACTGTCAGCTATACAGCTACATCATCCGTTAAAAGTTCATTTTCGACCTTAAAAATAATACATAGGCACTTATTGTCGTTCAACGCAAACTCGCGAAAGAACGAATAACCGCGAATAAGTCGCGTGTCAATAGAAAAGGAGTTATTATCGTTGTATAGATTTCGAAAAGACACGTCTACGTTTTACGAGAAAGTCACGTGTAAATATACACCGAAAGAAATAAAATTGAAGAATTGAATTAGAATACAAATAAATATATTTTAGATTCTGAGTTTAGCAAAGTTTTAGAAAAAAGTTTTTAAAAGTTTTACAAAGATATTAATTTTTTTTTTATATGTGAACACTTTTTCTACTGTAAAGCTTACTCCGATTTACAGGAATAGCACTTTTTCTAAATGAAAATGTTTTCTGGGTGGTACTTAAAAGAGGTAATTTTTGGGAATTCTCATTAATATTCGAGATGACGAGGAAAACCAACTTTAGGTTAAACAAAATTGAAGATTAAAAAAACTGTTGTCATTGGCAACCATTTTTATTTATTTTTGTTATTATTTATTCTTTTTTAAACAATAATTGTGGTCATGGAAAGACACATTGTCATAATCATTTTACCATAATATGCCATATTATTTGTATATATATATATATTATTGACAAAGCAACACCATCAACTGAACTCTGCTCAGAATCGTTTTTTTGTTATAAATGGTTTATCGTTGCTTACAGACATAAATTAAATCCCCGTCTGTATCCTACCTTCCAAATTTTTCATCTACAACAGTTGCTGAACCCTCGTGCGAAGTATAAGTCCGTATTTTTTTTTTTATAGTAATTATTAAAATAAGTTTTTTTTTTTATATATATATTTTAAGTTACTCCTTAACGCCACTGATTACGACCCGCATTTATTCAAACCTTTTCGGATAGGTTCGGCCGAAAGAGCGGCTTGAAGTCCGACCGACACTATACGTTTGTATTGTAACCGTACCTCGAGTGAGCGGGTTCGCTGTCAATTCGAGACCGGTGACGAATTCGCGGAAACTTTCGAAAGGAGGGCCTGTCGTTTTGTACCGTATTGTTTTTTTCCAAGGGAAAATGGAAAAAAAAAATACCGAAATAATTGTATTTACGACATAATAGCCACCTGCTCTTTTTCGAGCGGCGGTCAAAAGAGTTTTTGTCGTGCGGCACAACGTATACGTACTATATAATATTATGTCAAATGTCAAGACCTCCGTGCGAAACAATGGACTTCCTCTAAGGAAAAAAAAAATGAACACCGCAGCACATCGGCCGCGTTATACAAATTATAATAGACTGGCTCACGGGGGGGGACGTTTTATCGAGAAAAGGCTTCTGCCAGCCGATTTGTTGAAATACCGTACACCACGGTATACATAAATTAGGTTAATTTTTAATAATTTTTTTTGAATTTAAGAGAAAAGTAAGTACCTATATATTATAATTACACGGTGAAGTAGGTTGTTATCGCGTTCACTAATTGATTTTTATTTTTATGACTGTAAATTTTTTTTTTCTCTGAACTTTAAACAATTATTAAAAAATCTCGAATTTAATCGAAATAAAAAGTCGATACGTCAACATTTCCAGAAGAATAAACTCTATAAAAACGGCTATATTCAAATTATTCAAAAATAAATGAAATTTAATAAACTATTTTAATCCTTCTCCCCGCGATAGTAATACGAACAAAACAAAAATGTATTTTCTTTATTTATATCTCCTGAGATACGACAATGGGTATACCCATTCGTGGGACACCTGTATATACTTTTCGGTCGACGGAAAATCCCAAATCACCTGCAGGTCGGTTCGGTTATAATTTATAAGTACGTAGTTTCCGAAATATTTTTGTTTTGTGTGAAATTTTCCATTCATGAGGACAACTATAATTGGTTAGGCCATTGGTCGTATAGTTCTAATAACCGGTCGATAGAATCACGCAGTACTGTAGACCTGCACGGGAAAAGGTTTTTTCGTGTCCTTGTGATAATACTGCATTACTGTATACCGGAAAGAGCCAAAGGGTAATCTCAATTCTGTGGCAAAGCGACGCGGTGGAGGGGGGTCTTTTTTTTTCATTCCGTCTGCCCGCAAACGAGTTGATCGTTCGGTTTACCAGACATCTATATAGATAATTTTCAATACATTTTAATACGAAAATTTGATAAAAAAAAGTCGATCGCGGTGTTGTAGGTACCGGTCAAAAATAAAATCGAGTCGATTATAACGTCACAATAGGTTTTTTTAACGATAAGCTCCGAAGTTCAAATGTCAAATCGTGAACCCGTTATTCAGTTCGTAAAAACGGCATATCATTTTGTAATTAAACATCAATATGGAGATTTTCTAGTTAAATTTAACAAAATTATTGATATTACTGACTGAGAAATACTCAGAAAAACAATCGTACAAAATAATTAAAATCGCCCATATTTATCGCCCGTTAAACCACTCACCGCATGACATATATTGTTACTGTCACAATCTGAGAGCGACCTTCAGTGTATGGCGGAAGCTCTCATGGATGAAAGTTAACAAACGGGCTTAACTATAAATGGAGAAAAAACAAAGTACATGATAATGTCACGGAAAAATAATAGACATAATAATTTGATAGTAAGTGATATGGAGTTCGAGTTGATCGAAAACTTCAAATATCAAGGAGTGGAATTGAATGAGTCGGGCAATAACCACAAGGAAGTGCGGAACAGGGTAAACTCAGCTAATAAGTGCTTCTTCGGATTAAAGACATATTATTGAAATCTAAACTAGTTTCAATCAGATCTAAACTAACTTTATACAAAGTAATGATACGCCCGATAGCGCTATATGCGTGTGAAACCTGGGCCACAAACAAAACAGATGAGCAAAACTTAGCAAGATTTGAGAGAAAGGTATTAAACAAATTTTTGGCCCCAGAAGAATATCAGCGAAGAAAGAATGAAGAAGTAATAAAAGCATGTTAGAGAATTCAGACATAATAGTTACCATGAAAACCAAAAGGATAAAATGGGCAGAGCATGTATGGCGAGGTCGAGAACAGACAATCGGTCAGGTCACCTACTGGAAGCCGAAGATCAAATGACTGTTCAGCCGTCCAAGACAAAGATGGACAGGATAGACAGGGTCCATAAAGACCTGGATATGCAGGGAATCGGCGAAGGACCTGAATGGTCTATATTAAGCCGAAAAAAAATAAAAGACCACTCACCGCAGGTGCCAGGCGACGTACCATATCAGTGTGTTTAGTAAGTAAGAAATTTTTGATTGTGAAAAAATTTCACTAGATTTCTATAAAATGGATTGATAATTAATTCGAAATGTAATCGTTGTACTCGCTGTACAATGCCTTACCGACATTCCATCATTACGAAAAATGAAAGAAAGTAAAAAAGCCAGAAAGTAGATTTACAAAAAGCATATTACACAAGAGTCTATAAAATAAATTGACGGGAGTGTATAAATTTTAAATTACTGAATTACCCCCACTCACCCACCCTATTAGCGCCTAGGAGCGATTGCTCCTCGTAATATTCATCTGGACCGCCTCTTGCGGAATCTCCGAATTTCGATTGATATCGACGCCGATGTCACTTTCTGAGATTATTATATTATTTTCCGTGCGTTTCTGGATTTCCGGGTTACTAGACGTTCCGACTGACTATACAGGTATATAATTATTTTTTAGAAAATTACAGGGCCCCGCCTGAACAACAGTCGTCTGGGTGTCGATGATGATGAATTTAAAATTATTTAAAATTAAGAAAAAAAAATTCCCTCGACGTTTCAACAAGTGTCAGCACCTCGCCGAGTCTTGTCGTTAAAAACATAATAATACACTTACGTCGAATCGAAATAGTATGCACTCGTTAGGTAACAATAAAATATTTTTGTCGTTTCGCGAGTTAATCGTGTACGGTTCATATCACACCAATAACGATAACGTCGTTATACTTTTGTTGTTCGTGATAAAAATGTGTAGGTATAATTTATATTATACGTTTTTTATTGTGTTTACTTGTTATTATTAGGCGGGTATAAAAAAAAAACCGAATGTCATTTATCGGCCAAACTGTAATAACACACAAGGTCGATAGCGAAAATGCAGTAATAAAAAAAAAAAAAAAATTATATCGGTTTTTACCGTCACCCGATACCGACGGATGACTTTGGCTCGATTCAGTCGGCGTCGTGTAAAGAAAAATGTTGAAAATTAAAAAAAAAATCCAAATTATCGTACCCGTTGTTATTTTATCGCGTCACCGGCAATCGAAATGTGATGTTTTTTTTGTTTTTTCCTTCGGGAATTAAATCAACAAGTGTTATAGACGCGTTTTACAAGTATAATACGCCTAACGCAGCTGCGATGACGTTTTGATTAAATGGCTCGTATTTGTACACACAATTAACGAGACTCAACAAAGTTTTTATAGGGACACCCCGCTTGGTTTCGTTTTTGGTTTATTCAACGCACGCGGTTCGATTTAAAAAAAACTTCCACTGTTCCTACCCGTCCACCGTCGGAACCGGGAAAACTTACTACGAGGCGATATTTAGGCGCAATAAGTAAATGGGATAAATATGATTTTATTTTTTTCTAATTTTCGATTACTTAACCGAGAAGGCGAAAAAAAAAATACGTTCGAAATCGGTTCGCGCTCTACGGAGGGGCACGGGAGTTTTTCCCGTATATCTTTGGCGGCTGTTTAGCGTGTGATGGGTAAGTATAGTGTCGTAATTCGAGTGTGTGTGGGGTGGGGTAATGTATCGCGACCCGTCCACCGAGGTTTAAAGGTGAAATTTAAGAAAAACCGGAGTAATTTTCGAGAAAAAAAAAACGTTTAAAACTACGATTTCGCGCTGCGATCGTTGTACCCAATGCTTGACTTGGGAATAAAGTAGTAGAGGTACAAAAGCTATTTTAAAAAAATTAGCGTCCCTAAAATTTTAATATCCCTCACATTACCTGTTTGTAAAATTGGTCAACTTGGATTTTTGTGTTAAAAGGACGTTATACTCGTATGTGCCGTCTCACTCAGTCCATCTAAGGGGCAATATTGCAAAATCTAATTTACGCAGTCTACGTAAAACTCGCTTGATTGTAGTTTTATAGTGAAATCCACTATTATAATTTATTTAAATAATACACAGTACTTTGGAGAGCAAGGCATTGCGTTTATTCTAGTATTCTAATTACTATCCCGAATACAACGTTCAATATATCGTTTAAAAATAAAGACTAATTCATCGTTTTTAAATGATTGTAACATTTCAAAAAATGAATTTAAACAAAAAAACGCACAGTCTTTCTCTTTGGCTCTTTTATTTTTCATAATAGGTGCTTTTACTCCAAGACAAAAATTAAGCGAGTTCCACGCAGTCTGAGTAAGACACATTTTGCTATATTGCTCGTTAGTTGGACTGAGACGGTACACGCGGGTATAACGTCCTCTACCGCGAATATTTAAATTGAGCAATTTTATAAATTAGGTAAACTTAAATAACAACCCGTACCACGCGTTCCCCTTGGAAAAAAAAAATGTAGGGGTACCGCTAGAACATCCAAAAAATTAGTCGAGGTGCTCAGTACCTCCCCCCTCAAATCAAGCACTGGTTGCGGCGCGTTCTCTAAACCTGCAAACGAACACCGAGATATTTAAATGTGAAAATCGCTTCGGCCGGGGCTCCACCGACCGACCGAATCTCGGAGGAAATTAAACGAGAAATTCGTTTCCGATCGGACGCGCAAACAAACACCACCACGTCGGGGGTATAATAGTATTTTAATTCCTACGTTCCTTTCAGGAAAAAATACACGACCGTTATCCGACCGCCGCGCAAGCTTTTCGAGACACGGTTGATTTTTTAACATCGTCGAGAACCTGCGAACCATACGTTCCGGGGATTATTGTATTTTATAACGACGAATTAATAAGACTACAGTTTCGACCGATATTATTATTAAGAGGACGCCACACCGACGTTTACCGCCGTTTCCGTCATCACGTCAAACGCGAGACATTCGTGTTCAATTTGTGCCGTTAATTTTAATATCAAAGCAGCAAATTGAACCATTACTAAAATAAAAGGTAATACGATTACACGTTGTGCTCTAGCGTTGACGATTTCTCGATAGTTTTTTATTTTAAAACGAGACACGAGTATGTAGTAACACATCGCAATTAAAAAACAATTATATCTCGCTTAAAAATTAAAATATCGAGAAAAACACCAACGCTGAGGCACGTATATATATATAATCGTTTTACCTTTAAGTTTGGTAATAAAAGTTAATTTGCTGTATTACTTGAACCAACGGCACGAAATGTGTTCTGCTGAACGAAAATTTGATATGCCTCGCGTTTTTAATACGGAGGAGACAGTAGACGTCGCCGCGGAGTCCTCTGAATAAACGGGACCGCGCCCGTGGATGGAGAAAAACAAAACAGACGTCCGTCGAGACGGACGGACTCACGTCAGAGGGGTAACGACGAAAAAGCGAGCTACAATTCGTTAAGGGGATTGGAAACGACGAGTTTCTATGTTTAACTTACACACGCGAGATATAGGGATTTAGAGACGTGTTCCGATTACAACGTACCGCGATCGATGTGGTGAATCGATAAGAATTCCGGAAACAGATTTGATTTCGACGGGATAATCGAAATTTCGAGTTGCGCGCAGAGGCCATCGGGGGGGAGGGGGGGAGGTGGCGTTATTTCTGTTTCGTGTTGCCGTTAGAGAGCGCGTTTTCAAACCGCGCGCGCAGCGGTTAATATTATTTTCTTAACGCCGGACCGAATCAACAGGAGAACGGTCGGCGATAACGAGAGCCGGCGGTTTTCGCGCGTTAATTACGCGAGATACCGGCGGCGAGACACGTCGGTCGGTTTTTTTTTTTTTTATTTCCCTCCTCCCGCCGCACAGTCGTCACATGAAAAGCGCGTTTTTTCAATGCGATAAGCAAGAGAAGGCGTTGGGGAAAAAAAAACAAACCGGCTCCGAGTAATAATATTCGAGAGCTTATTCGAATCGAAAAAAAAAACGATTACGAACGAGACATTAAAAATTTATTATTATCACGTTCGGAAACGCGGAGATACCGTCAATTTATTATTGGGCGACGTACGAAAAATCAACGAGCGTTTTTTTTTTTTTTTCGCCGCTCACCGATAACGCGGTCGGTCACACGTCATAGTTTTTAATTTTTTTTTTTTTGCCCGTTTTAATCGGACGGGACGACCGGCGGATGTCGTTAATAATATCATTTCGCTTCGCGACGACGAGAGCGGAAAAAAAAAAAACGTAAAATATTATTATTATTATACGGCCGGCCCGGCTTTTAACTACGGATATTTCACTATTCCGGTATGTGTTTTGTTCACACGCACACGCGATCAGAGAAAAATCCGCCGACCGCCGACGCGTAATATTCTCGACGGAAAAGTATTGCGGTTTTTTTTTTTATTGTTTAATAATATAATAAAATAAGGTGAGAACGCGGCTCGCACAACGTATTGTCTCGACGGGTGTCGGCCGTCGGTGGACGGGGCGAGATGAGAAAAATCCGCCGGAGCGAACCGGTTGCCGGGGATTTTTTTTTTTTTTTCATGTCTATAACGCGGCGGCGATATTTTGCCGAGCGAACACACAAACCCCGGTTATACCGAAAAATCCAAAACGCAAAACTCATTTATTGTCGATGGCGGGACATATATATAGAGAGATAGAGAGAGGAAAATACAAATAAAATATACAGATAAAAAAAAAAAAAGTTCAAATAAAAATACAGAGTAAAAAAAAAAAAAAAAATCTTATCGTAATAATAATTGTATAAATAAATTTTGAAAAAAAAAAAAAATTCGTACAAAACCGCGTGTCCATCGCAGATTGTCACAAGCCCAAGAGCACGGTATGAAGTTCCTACGAGTAATAAATTCAAGAACGTAGGAACTCTATACCTCGCTAGTGGTCATTGCTGTTTTTTTTTTCTTCTTGTACGAAAGACTGAGTCTCGGCCGTCTGGTCCGGCCCGCGTGGTTTAGCGGGCGGTGTCCGTGGTGGAAGACGTGCGCCGAAGAACTGAAAAATACGAAATAAAAAAAAAAAAAAAACCCGTTCCAAAGACGGCCACCGGTCGACGACGCCGCCGTCTGGGGGATTTTTCTCTCTTTGGCCTCCCCCCACACTATCATCGGCAGAGATTCTTTATTTATTTTTATTAATGTTATTTAAAAACGTTATTTATTTCGGAAAACCGGCGACTGTTCGTAAACACGAACACTACGGGCGCGACGGGGAAAAAAATAAGTAAAAACCGAAAAATAAAAAATAATAAATAATAAACGAAGTTTTTTTTTAAAACCGAAAAAAAAAAAATACAAGTCTCGTTTGGACGGAACGAGAGACGTAATAAATTCGAAAACCACGCGGTCATGCGGACGGACAAGGACGAAGAAGCCTGTGCGGTAAAACGGAGAGAAAAAAAAATTAAAATAAATACCGCAAACACAAAATGAAAATTGTTCGAGAAATAAAAATTTAAACACGGAAAAAAAAAAAAAACAAAATAAAATAAATAAAGTTAACATGAAGAATAATGTGCGCGAGGAACTCACCTGTGAACACGGAGAGACTACGACGAGACGGAGACGGTGCGAGTGCGACGACGGTCAGTGTAAGAGTATGCGTGACGTGGAAGTATGCGAAATGAACTGGTGAACGGTGGTGGTGTGCGAGTGTATAGCGGTGCGCGTGTGTGAGTGCGCGGCGGCGCCGGGCGCGCGCGCGTACGAGTGTGCATGAGTCGAGTGATGCGCGCAGGAGAACGTTCAGCGGACACGACCGCACGGCTAGGCGGCGACGGAGAAAAGGACGGAGCGTACGCGGTCGGCGACGGCTCGCGCCTCGGTCTGACTCGGCGGCCGTCGGGCCGCGCCACTTGTCTGCGCGCGCTCTACGAGCAACGCACGTAGGTGGGGGAACGGCGGCCGTTGGGCGCGCGCGCAACGTCGTCGCCGTCGACCTGCCCCGCCGCGCCGGTGCCACGTCGAAAACCCGCCGCCGCCGCACGCTCCCGCTCCGCCACGCCATAACACCCCCTTCCCACCACCGCCGGACACGCGACGACACCGTGTGCACCGGTCGCGGCCGCCGCCGTTTTTACCCGCCAAAACCAACGCACGAAACATTATACGGGAAAAAACGAACGGAAAAACGTTTTAGGTTAAAAATATTCGCCGGGTCCCCGGTATGCGTCCTCTCTCCCCCGTAAACGGTGCGCGACGAGAACCGGACGCGGATACATTTTTTTTTTTTCGTTATAAAAATTTCGAACACGAGTACACGCGACCGACACACGGAAGAAAATCGAATCGGGAAAAAGGACAGCTGTACGTATATCAAACCCGCCGGGCGACCGTTCGCGGGAGAAAACGTATACGGCACCGCCACCTAGTGGATTTTACCGGAACGTATTGTGTCGCCGGCGACACGCGACAATACATCGCGTCGGCGGTCCCCGTTTTTCTCGGCCGATAAACGAGACCGTTCTGAAAGAGCGGAAAAAACGAAACGACCTCGACAAAGAACACACGTCGTTGGGCATTTTTCATGTATTCAACGATATACGCACAATAATGTGGGCGCGCGGAAAATATATCGCGACGGAAAGGAACGCGCGCGCGTCTACGGAGAACCCGACACGGGAAACGCGTCGTCGTCTGGCCGGGTTACTATTATGGGCGTGAACTTGTACGGTAAATGAGAAAAAAAAAGTACCGCGTACGACACAAAGAAACGAGACGAACGAAGAAGAGTCGGCGGTTAAAAAACGGCCGCCTACACACGTGGTTTTCGGTCGGTTTTTTCGCCTCGACATAATTACCGCCGTGCCAGACAACAATAGCGCGCGCGCGGTTTTTTTTTTTTTTCCCACACAATTTTGCCCCGCCGGTATAAATAACGAGGCGATTTTCGCGAGGAGTTTAGGCGCGCGCTAGGAAACCCACGAGGCGCGGCGACAACGGCGAAACGCGCGTAAAAAAAGATTTCGCTATTTTTGAACCGAGACCGCCCGGCGAACGCGCCGCCGGCCAAAAACGCCGCGAAACGCGTTTTATAAAAATATCGTTCGCGGCCGCCATCGTTGGAAAACGGCGATGAATAAAAAAAACCGACACGACGATAAAAAAAAAAAAAACAACCCGGGAGTGAAAAACCGTTCGCGCGTACGTTACCGTATTGTGCGCATACACAACGCACGGGGACGACAACAAACAATCGAACACACACGCCGCACCCCTTTTTTTTTTTATGTTTTCTGGTCGTCTTCTCCGGGTTTTTTCCGATCTCACCCCACCCCGACCGACGGTTTTTTTTTTTTTATATTTTGTTATCCGGGGGTAGGTGGTATCGAGCGCGCACCCCGAAATCGATTCGCCCGTCGGATTTGTCAGAGACTGCGACACACGCGGTCGACATACGGCCGTCCGTGATCCAATAAAAAAAAAAAAAATTAAACAAAAAAAAACCCCGGGACGATCCCTCGGGCCGGGAACGAAAAATGAAAAAAAAAAAAAAACCGCGTCGTCCCGGGCCCCGTCGCCATCGTTTTCGAACTCGCCGACGAGATTTTTATACGTATTTTTTTCTCCTTTTTCGCCGTCGCGACGGTAAAAACGGTGCGAGACGCACGAACGCGTCGTCGGCAGGTGAATAGAGAGAGAGAGAGAGTGAGAGAGAAACCGAATACGACAAATTTCGAAAAACCACGCGAGCGGAGTCCTCCTCCCCGGGGGCCGCCCTCGCGCCTTTTTCTTTTTACCGCTCCGCCCTGCCGCCTCCCCCCCTTCCGAAAGACGATTGGAAACAAATAACAAACGATTACAGGAGAAAAAAAAAAAAACAAACGCCGTTTTCAACGTGTACGAGAGAGCCGGTTCGGGATTTATACGGGCGATTTTTTTCCGTCAGTGTTTCAACGCGATCGTTTACACGGTTGACACGTTGAATATTTATCAGTGTTCGGGGAATAATAATAATAATAATAATAAAAAAAACATAAAAAACAAAAACCCTCGATGAATATTCAAAGAGGTCTTTTCGTCGGCGGCGGCGGCGGAGGGCCGGGACGCCGGCTCAACCTCTCGCCGACTCGAACGCGCGTTTTGTTCATAACAATTATAATGATATGCACGCGCGCCGGTGCGACGAACATGTTTTTACGGAAAATAAAATATCCGATCCGGGAACGCGTTTTTTTCCCGGCCGAAAACGTAGAGAAAAAAAAAACAAATAAAAAAAAAAACCGCCGCCGATTACACCGACGACGTTGAAATTGTTCGGGATTTTCGTCACGACGAGGCGCTTTTTCTTGGAATAATTATCGTTATTATTTTAATTTTAAATTTTTTTTTTCTACGACCAGTGTTCTTTGTCGTAATTGCGCGACAATTATCGCCGCGCCGCGATAACGGTCGTAATTGTTACGCGCGGCGTCTCGAAAACGTTACGGAGAAAGAAGGAGGGGGTGAGGTGGGGGGTGGGGGGTGACGGCGGTGGCGGCGGGCGGGGGAAAACCGCGCCGCCTTACGACCGACGTTTCCACGTCGGACCGTTTCGAGAATACGCAGCGACGCCAGAGAGAGAAAAAAAAAAAACCCACCGATAACCCGAGTCGTTCTCGACACACACGACAAACCGTCTCGGTTGCGAAACGCGAAAAAATATTCGATAACAGTCGACGCGCGTTAGGACCGCGAAAACATACCGGCGGCCGGCGATCGAAATTTATCGCGTCGGTCACACGGCGACGACGTTGTACCGAAACATAAAAAAAACCAAACGGCCGAACGAACGAATTGGTTTGTCCGGTCACCCGGGATCGACGCACCACGGACGTCCGAAAAAAAAAACGAGACACGGATAGGCAGAGAAAAAAAAACAAAAAAACACCTGCCCCGTCGCGCCGAACGGGACGGTAAAAAAAATAAATAAATAACCGCAACCGAAACACCGTCGGAAAACCGCAAAGTGGAGCTCCGCGGACCTGTTGAGAAACGGTTTTTTTCCGGCAAAAACGGCCGCGATAATAATAATGAAAAAAAAAAAAAACCAAACGATAAATAAGATGATATTCTTGCGTACAGACAAAAAAAAAAACCTAGATAATAGTAATAATACAAAAAAAAAAAAAAAAAAAAAAAAAATTCATACTGACCTTGGTTGGAGCGGTTGTGAAAATGAAAAGGAAAAAAAACCGCTCGCGGTGACGTGACGACGATGACGGCGACGGTCGGTGGTGGTGGCGGCGGCGATGGCGACGGCACTGCGGTCGCGTGCGTGAGTGCGTGCGTACGTGTGTGTTCGTGCGCGCGCGTATAGAGTCCGGTGGACAGGGGGGAAAAAAAAAAATATAAGAGTCGAAAAGAAGAGAAAAAAAATAGTAACCCGACGATAAGATGAAAAAATTGAAAAAAAAAAAAATAAAATAAAATAAAATAATAGAATAAATGTTCGAGAAATGGGTTGCGGAGTGCCGGCCGGGAGAGCGCGCGTGACGGAGACGAACGAATCGTGCGAGGGAATGAGTGCGAATGAGGCGAGACGGTCGCGGAGAAAAACTCGAACGTGTACCCGGCGAGTGGGCAACGACGACGCCGGACGTCTTACCGAGTTACGGGACCACCAGGCGGTCGGGCGGGCGCGCGAGTGTGTGTGTGTGTTTGTGTGGTACGCGAGTTACGCGGGGAGAGGAGTTAGACACCGCGACGAGTGGACCGTCGCCGTCGTCGCGTTTCATGGCCGTCGGCGCCGCGGCGGAGTGCGCTCGTCGTCCGACGTCCGTGCTGTCGGACGGGAGCGCGCGAAGAAAGTGTCGGTGCCGAGCGACGGCGGCGGCCAAGACGACGACGCCGGGCGATGACGGCGACGGTGCGCGCGCTACCGCCCGTCCCATTGGACGGACGCCGGTCGGCGGACACGCCTCTCCACCCATCTCGCCGCACCGCCGGTTACGCTCGGTCGGCGTCGTCGCCGACGCCAACGGCCCGCCGCGGTAAACTCGGCGGTCGTGTCGCCGTCTGTCCGCGGCGTTTGCGCTCGCGTCCGCGGTGCTGCTATCTGTCACCACAGCCCGAATAAACATGCCCGCCGCTGCTGTCGCGTAGACAGCGCTGCCATCAACGGGTACCGCGGTCGCCGAAACACGTCCAAAGAGAGCGACGCGTACGCCGCCGATTTCGCCGACACACGCCGCCAGATCGAACCACGCGTACTGTTCCCGAAAGTTTACCCCAAAAACTAAAAACATCGCGACGTCTTCTTATATTCTCTCTGGCTAATAAATTTTCGATCGCAATACCGCGCAACGTTTACTATGTAGAAATTCATTCCGAGCAAAATAAATGTGACATCTGAAATCAGAAAGTATAACACATTTTGAGTTTAGTACGTAAAGTAGGTAAGTCAATATAGTACGATATAGGTATTATTATATCGAATTAGTACCGATAGAACATTAAAGCTTTGTTCGTTTTAAATATAATGTATACTACTACATTTTTGATAAGGAATACATTACAAACAACAGGCACACAATCAGTCGTGCAAGTGTCGAATCTACACTATATTGTAAACTCTATAGTGTTATGTTTACGGCGTGTAAATATCAAAAATAAAATGTAAACACATTTATATAAAGTCAATGTGCCATATCATGACCGTGAAACCTGGCAAACTTCTGGAATTATACCTAGACGATGAAATTAGCAGTTATAGAAGGACGTTGTTCCTCAACACTATTAATATAATATTATAACATGGACCGGAAAAAAATAACGACACATAAATGATGACATCAGATCATCGTCATCATCATGTATATGGCTCCTCACAACTCTGCGAGAAATTTGGCTTCAATGTCTTCAAGTAATCACGGACCTAGCCGATCTTTTCCTCGTATTGTGTCACGTTCAGTCTCGTTATGTATTTCGTCAATCCTCTTTTTCCTGCTTTTCTCTGAGTTTACTTCCCATACCGACTTCCGTTTGGACCGGTTCCGGCCACTGCAGTCTTTGTTCCTCCACACGATTTGTTGTGCGGGTTTCACTTCCGTCATATTTTCTCTTATTTGCGCATTTTTCCATATACGCTAGCAGTTTAATCCATTATCAAAAACTGGTCTGCATATTGTTTACGTTTCGCACCCATACGTTAAAATGTAGATCTTACCATTATAACAGCCATATTGTACATTGAAGCATTAATGTGATCAATGTGATACGTTTGATCCTTCTTAAAACAATTTCGATAGTGAAAACCCAAATGACAATGTGATCGCGCGGGGTCGTTGTAATATATTTAATACACTTTGGACAGTGGGCGTGCTGATTGATTGATCGGCCGTCGACGCGTCGGATTTAAAATCGAAACAAACACGCCGGGCAGTTTATTTGCAACGCGTTTTTGTGGAATGACCGGCAGTAAATGGAAAACGAATAATGTCATTCGGTATACTTAGGGCTTTTATCGTTTTTCTCGAGTACGCGACAATATCGCCCCTGTTGTTCACGCACGCAGTACGCGCCAAGTCCAAAACCATGGTTTTTGACAATAAGCATTTTAAAATCGTACTTACATCGTCTAAACACGTTTACCGGATAAAATGTATCAAATATATTTTTAAATTTATGTTGGACGATTCAGTGTTCTCTAGAAAACGTCAAACTCGTCGATAACCACGTAACGCGTGCGTTTGTTTACGCAAACTGGCCACTAGATGTCGCTATACGATCGTTTTCCGAGCCTGGTCGCGCGGATGGCCGCCCAATATATATGGGGTTGCGTACAGTAAATTTTAAAGGGGAATTAAAGTGATCGCTTATCGACTCGAAAATATTCAAATTCACATTCAAAACAAAATGTACAAGTACTACGCGTATAGTGATGACGGTATAAATTAAAACATTTACGGAGAATTAGTTTCGTATTCCCTTAACGATGATTTAGAAAAAAATAGAATTTTCACCAAAAAACTATACTCCGGCTCACGAAAAAAATAAACCTTGTTCCGAATTAAAACGCGTCCGTTGCGCGCATATACACAAATCGCAGCACATAAATTAACGGAACGATGCGGATGAAGCAGCGCAGTAGCCGCCAGTCTACTGTCTAGTGACAATTTTGTTAATCACGAAAAAAGCAAACCCCGCACATAAAACCGACCGTCTGTGACCGTCGCAGTGCCGGAACTAGGAATTTCGTAAGTCCGTCGGGATAAAATACTATACGCCCTACACGATGTTCCCCTCCTCCACTCCCTTAAGAATCTAATCTTTATAAAAATAAATCTATTTCCCCTCCCCACCCACTGGTCCCCTAAAATACTGAACAATCAAATTAAACACGTATCAATCAGTGTTTATGCGATGACGAATCCCCGCCTTCCTCACCCTCTAGCTCCGGCACCGGTGGCCAGCGGCGCAGCAGCCAAAATACTGAAAAATGATAATCTATATCGTTTTCGATAATCCACAGTGCAAACCGATCGGAGAGTGACGTAACGACGAAGACGGGGGGGAGATGTGGGAAAGACAAATCGTCCGTTTGAACACGGCCCGCGACTAACGTACGATCGCATTTGAATATTACACAGATATATTTATTGCGCGCACGAAAATCTACTTAAAACTCGGTGCGACGCGGGCCAATTATCGGTTGTCTAACGGGTTTTCCGGTAATTGGTATCGCGGTAACGAAATAATTGTCAACTATCGGATTTTCGTCATATTGTTATCACTTACATAAAAAAAAATAAAAAAACACTCTCACGACCGTTTACGGCGCGAATATATTGTTCGGGCTCGGTCGTGAAGCAATTCGATTTTCCCGTTGTATCGACAAATGGCGCGGTAAAAACAATCTTGAATACTTTTACCTCCTCCCACAATCAATCGGCGCGGGTATAAATACCTCCGAAAGATTAATATGCTTCGGTGATAAAACGGTCGGTTACAAATAGTTCACGTTTAATCCGTTCGGCGCGTTTGAATCGGGAACGTAAGATTAACGCGCGGGGACGTGTTTACCGCCGCCCTCGGTGAATTTTTACCGGGGCGGCGAGCCCGATCTAGAATATTTTTTTACCCCGCGGACAGGTAACTGTAAATAATAACCGTGGGTATAGAAACACTACGACACTATATTATACGTTCGAGAAACCGTCAAAAACGTGGCACACGTCAATCTAATTTTTATCTTAGATCCATCAAAATGCGAAAGACTCCGAATAGTTATTCGGAAAATCCCCATTGTCGAGGCGCGAATCGATCGGTTTTTTTTTCGTATAAGAGGTTGGCGGGATGAAGCAAATCACTATTGACGATATCTATCGCGCACCCGTACGGTAATTAATGTCCACGGTACATTATTGTAGGCCTGTTCCAATACGCGTGCACACGTTTGCGGATATTCCCCCGAAAATTCGCAGCGAGGAGGCGTTTTGTCGGGCGTCGCGTACCTGCCTGCCCAATAAGATTTTCACGACGAGTGGGAGGGGGGAGGGTGGTCGAAATCGAGTGTACGTCATATTATCATTGTTGTCGTCGTCGTTGTTGTTGTTATTATTATTATTATTATTAGACAGCCATGTACCTGCCCGCCTAAATAATATAATATACGACAGTTCGGTAGACCGGGGAAAAAAAAAAAAAAACCACCCGACGACGGGTCGCGGTTAATGGGATTGCGTCCGCGGACGGAAAGTTAATACAATTTGTGCGCGAGCGGATAAGACTAATGGATTGGACTGACAGCGACCTGTCAATAGTTTGTGCGAACGTGTCGCCGCGTACGCCTGCGACACGCGCGCGCGCGATATTATAATAATAAAATATACGCGGTATAATAACAACGATGAAAATACGACGACGAAATGTCGTGGGCCGCGAACGAGCGAGAGGGCGATGACACACGGGTGGAGGGGTGTGGGGGGCGGAAAACGCCGTATATTAATATCGCCTTATGTCGGGTACGTACGTGCCCCGTGTGTCCCGGCTCGCCGTATCGGTCGGGCGACGGGCTAGGGGCGCGCGCCCGGGACGTAGATCCCACCCTGCTCCCCGAATCGAGTTCTTATCGAGGAGCGCGAATACCGAGTGAACCGCACAATCGGCGTTAATCGACAATCGACGTTACGGGTTAAGGCGAAGACCTGCCCCGGAAAAAAAAAAAAAAAAAACGGCAACACTACTAATGATATTCGGGGCGCGGAATTTCACGCGTTTGCGTATTGGCAATGAGAAACATATTTCTGTAACGTATGACGCGTTTTTTTTTTTGAAATTTTTTCCCTCCGAGTACACACAACCGCGGGGTGAGGCTGAATAAGCGATAGGAAATTTTTTTTTTTCTTTTCAGTCACTTGTATGCGCGTATAGATTGAAAGTCGCCGGTTATCTGTCTTTATACTGTAAACACTGATGGCGGGTCGCGTGAAAACGATTCAGTAAACTGTCGGTTTCTGTAAATAATTCACCGGTTCTGTATAGAGGAGGTAAGTTGAAAGTATTTTATTATTTGGCACAGCTAGGGACAGAAAAAAGTTTTGGGGGGTGTTTTTTATAATCAGTTATTGAAAACCAGAACTTTTTTTTAATAAACACATAAAAGATAAGGTTAGGTTAGGTTAAACTAATTATTTCGGGGGGGGGGGGGTGTTTAAACACCCAAAACATCCCCTGCATACGTGTCTGATTTGGTATGTAAATATGTTATCTACGATTACGATAATTTAATTTGTTAGGTTTAAGATGTGATTACAGTTTATTTCTTCCATGATAACAAAATTATAATTAAACGATAAGTTTAAACGACTTGATAGTTCAACAACTCCGTAGTTGATATGACGTTTTTTCGTTTTACAGAACCGTTTATAATTTCACATTGAACCGACGACGGTCGGTTATCGGTTCTATATAAAGTTACAAGCGACGAATATGTGGTCGTTATATTTTCAAAAATCATCTCTCTCACTCTCTCTTTCTCTCTCTCTCTCTGGTCCTGATAATTCATATTCGGTCGTCTCACCTGCCCTAACCGCGTATTCCGCCCGGTTCCCCGCGAGCAACGACTCCACATCATATTATGTACCCCGGGGATTCAATATGTAGCTAATTATAATAATACTACTACCACTATACTATTCTGTATATGTATACATAATATACATTCGTATATCACATCGTACACCAAAGAGGGTTACCTTTGCCGAAATAAATAACATTATAAATGTACGCGCGGTAATAATGTATAATATCATATAACTCGACGACCGAATTATCTGCAAGATATTATCGCGAACGACGCGTGTAGGCACCTAAATAATATTATACTTGAACGCCACGAGTTTCGAGTGTCGGGAGACTTCAGCGGAGTCTTAAAAAACGCATTATCTCCGATAGGAACCCGACGGTGCGAAAGACCTGCACGACGTACGTATACAGCCGCTATAGTGGCGTACTTTCAACTTTCTAATGAGGGAAATTCGGGGATTTAAACGACACGATATACCATGCTATCAGAGACTGTAATAGAATTATTAAAACCTATATATACCTATCGGCAATTATTCGTTCCCGTTCCTTCTGTACATATTATCATATAATATGCACAGTGCCAAATTTACGGTCAAAAAGACCCGATGAAACATCGAAAAGTCCAATCAGATACGCCACTGATTAAGAATGACGTCCATCGCGCCCAGTACATTTCAGGAAATTCATTCGAAAACGAATTTGACTGTTTTTTGAGTTGATAATAAATGTTCTTTTTTCTCTCAAAAATTGTCTATATATACGTAACCAATTAAAAATAAATGTATAAATTGATAATTTATATGCAGAAATAAATAAATAAATGAATGCGTTGCCTGGAGTATTAAGTTTTGAGTATTGTACAACCGGTTTCGAGTTAAAAATTTATCATCAGGTAAATCATAAATTCCAAAAGTAAAATGCGAATAATGCGACTGAATATGAACAAATAAATAAAGGAATACGTAGAGGAAAGAATTATATAAATTGGTCATTATTTTACATAGAAATTATTTATTTAAATAGGAGAGATTATTTAAAACGAGTTATTATTAGACACAGATATGTTAAGAAGTATAAATTATTTGGTTATTATTTATTGCCTAAAATGTATTGATATAAGATATTATTTTTAAAATAGGTTTGTATATTTAAAATTGTATTAAAATTATTTTTCTCTATTTCATTGTGTATGTGTATGTGTATGTATGCAAATGTTATTTTGGGTATATAATATTTCTAAGTATGTATCCATATCAAAGCTAAAAGTATAGTTATTTTCTAAAACATGTTTAGCGAAATTCGAATTAGGGATAGTGTTTTTTAATTTTATTTCAGAAATTTGTTCTTTGTATCTTATTTTAAAATTTCCATTTGTATTACCTATATAAATTTTTTTACAATTTTATAAGTTTATGTATAATACCATTTTCAAAAGAAGGGGGATTTTTTGAGAAGTTTTTAGTACTAAAGTTTATAATATGTTTGATTAAA